ACCCCTAATAGATATTTTTTCTACGTACCTTCCCAAGCGGCGTCCATAATGGTATGAAATTACGCAGTACTCAATAGTTATCAACTGGAAACCACGTGTCTTAGCGCACAGATGTGCCTTATGAATTGTCTGTAGACTAATGGTTAAACGCACAGACGCTGTCGAACATCTACGCGACGAGACGCTGGGCACTAGAGAAGTGTGACGTCAGACGCGAAGGAACGGCAGCTATGATTTCGCGCTATAATCCGCCAAATTTAAGTATCAATTTCTCTGTCATCTATTGGCCGATTTTAATAATGTTTTCACTGGCTGATTATATTTAGTCTATATTTTCCTTCTATATTCCTGTATTATAATTTTTATGAAGAATCTGATAACTGTAGTAAACTTGCAGTCGTTAACAATAACTATTATTTTTTTGAAAATAATTTGTTTTCTTTATTAATTCTGATAGTTTTTTCATGCGGGTGCTGCTGAAGACCATCACCAGGATTCATCAAATAATATTTTGACGATAAATATTATTGATATGTTCATACAATATAAAATTTAGATAAAAATAAATTTGCGAGTCTAGATTTTTTTTACTGTTCTGAAATTTTCAAACAACTAGGATATTTATATGTATGATTTTATAATGACCTGTGCCATTGACGCTGCTGCTTTAACAAATAAGTGACTACTCATTTGTCAAAACAGCAAAAATATTTTGTTAATAACACATAGCGTTATAAAATGTGCCATATATCATTAGAAATGCTTACTATAAGATTATACAACAGTTTTTCATGGTGAAAAAGCAGCCGGCAACACTGTCAATATTGATACTTAACTTACTACTTGTCTTGATAGTGTCACTTGTCTTTCTTCAACGTCACCGCTGTCAAGCTGCCATTTTTCCTTTACCGCTAAAAGCTAAAAATGTGCCGACGTGTGGAGTGGCTTGGAACAATGCTGCGCCGAAATAATTACTATAGGCAAGATGTGATAATGAAATAAAGCAGTTTTACTTTTGATATTTATTGGAATTTAGAGTATGTCATCAAACCCTTAATTAAGCATCTGTTTATGCCCACCTTGAAAAAAAAACCTAAGTAAAATTTTCTCACTTCACTCGATTCCTCTGTGCCTACATTATTTTTTTATAAATTGTGTATTTCAAGAAATGATTTTCAATATTTTCAGTTTCTGTCACCCATGTTTCAAGATTGGACTGGGTTAAAAAAATACAGGTGTATACCTACATGACATTGATTCTGATAATATTGTGAAGTTGCTCAGGGCATTTATTATGTTTCATTTGAATCTTGTTGATACTACTATGGCAAAAACAAGCAAGAAATAGACGCGACAGTGTATATATCCTTATTGCCAAAATAAATACATATTGAATGTAAGTCATTCATATCCCCCATCCAAGAAATTTCATCGATTCTCAAAAAATCCCAATCAAATGCAATTATGATACAATGCCTGTGGATTAGCTTCCAGTACAAAATCTGATAAATATGTTTGCGAAGACCAGTTCGTACTGTCTGATAATGTTTCCCTTCGGGATCCCTATTCACGTTTGAACTATCTTGCAGTTCCAAAAGATGTTGATGGTCAAATTCTAAGTCAACCCATTAGTCATTCTGATATTGCAGTTTCATTGAAGGAATGCTCTGATGGTTTCTCAGCAAGTATTTGTGATTCTCCTTCAACGTCGGCAGCAAGCCATGTAAATTGCCTGCCAAAAGAAGTAACAAAGACTTGACAGATGTAAGTACAATTGAACACGATCACTGCTATTCTAAGCCAGATTTTGTGGTACAGACTCATTATCAAGATAAATATACATTTCTGTCAGACACTTCGAGTTCATGTCTTACACAATTAGAAGTAAGTAAAAGTCAATTAACAGAAAGGGAATATAAAATGTATCAAATGCACCGCAACCCAAAGTGATGTTAACATCCCCCAATGCCCTAAATGTCGGGATGCACTGTTCTCAGATGAGTTCACCCCATTACAGTTGTATGTTCATTTCAAGGAACAGGACAACAAGCAGAGGCTAACATACAAAAATGACAAACTAAGTCATCTACTAGATGTTATTCATGTAAAACTGTATAGTTTTTTTAGATAAGTTTGCCCATTTGCCTAATGATCAAGCCTCCTTCAAAACAGGTCTGAAACAACTGCTTGAAAATTTTCAGAATTGCAATTTTCATGATGACCTCAAAAATATCATTAACAAATGCATCAGACTGACAATCTTCTAGTATATTAAACATAAAAATTCTTTGGAAAGACCTCTTGAAACATCTGAAGGTCATTCAAGGAAAATGAAAAAGTTAAATGCCACCAGGTAAATCATTTTCGAATGTTTGCTGGTGGTTTTTTAATTATTTTATGTACCTCCATGGATGAACCATCACAAACCCGGCTGTGACATACCTGACCAGGACATTTTTACCATATTGTGATAGAATTGTGTTTTATTTTTTAGAATTACAAAACTCAACATATACAGCGGACCTCCGGTAATCCGACAAACATTATGCAGTGCAGTGTCAGACTATCGAATTTGTCAGATTATAGAGCACTGCCTAAGACCCCTTATAGTCCAGAATTTTTACAAAAGAGTACCTTGTAATCCGACAAATTATATATCCAATGGTAAGATTATATATGTTATGTATATGTATGTACTTTGAAGTACAAATCATACATAGTTTATGTATGTCGAATTTAGTAAATTAAATAATAATAGAGAGCTTACGTTTTATTATAAAATTAAGCATAAATGCACATACATATGTACCAAAATAATGAAGAATTATTAATCAAAATGATTAATGGATTTATCAAATTATGAAGTTTGGAAATATTCATCAATTTTTTTTGTTTAAGGTTGTTATAACGCGAGATCAGAGCTTTGTCCCTCAGTCTTCTCAAAAGTAAAAGTTCGTTGTAGGATGTACCATTCTCTTCAGCCCATTGTAAACCTAGCTCAAAGGCGTTAATTGCGTCTTGTGATGTGACTTGTGGAGCAGCTGCAATCACGTCGTCGTTATTTTCCTGATTGTTTGTTGTAAAGAACAGTCGGGTAATAAGGCCGGACAGGTAATAAGGCCGAAAGCCCATCAAAAGTAAAATAAATTAAATACTGGTACATACAGTGTCATCTGTTAACAGGTATGTGAATCTTAGCTCATTGAATTGAGTTAACGGCTTGTCCGGTCCACCAGAAGCTCTGTGTATGTCGTTGATTGTTTTATTGGAGTGATTTTCCTAAGATTATAAGAAGCGTCCGCAAAAGGTAGGCTTTATTTATAGAAAAACAAGTGCATATTTATTACCATCTGTTTGCTTGTGTTTTATGGATATTAACTAAATGTTTAATAGATAAATGTACTTTGTTTGTGCATTATTAGAAGATTCATAACCTAAAATATTTCAAATACATTGTCCAGATAATAAGGCCGTGGTCTTATTGCCTGCTCTACTAATAGTTTGCTATTAGTAGGACAGATAATAAAGCTAGAAAATAATGTGTTAAATTAGATACTTCAGATTTCGCAGATATGGGGAAGAAAAATCGAGGCATTAGGGCTCAGTGGACAGAGGAAACGATTTCAGAAGCATTACAGTTGTTAGTAGAAGGGAATTCACAAGAAACGGTAGCACGACTGGAATCCGGTTTATCAAAACGTTCTTTAGGTGCAAAACCCCTTCTAAGCACACAAGAAAACGAGTTGGCGGTTAAAATCATTCGATTTGCTGAGAAAGGTTTTCCTCTCACGTCAAAAAATTTGCGTCGTACCGTTTTCAAATTTTGTGAAACACTTGGTGTTCCACACAAATTTAATAACGTAACGCAGTTGGTAGGCAAGGAATGGTATTGTTCCTTTTTAAAGCGCCATCGCAACATATCACAAAGGACAGCTCAGTAACTGAATCGCACGCGTGCTAAAAAATTGAACCGCTACATTGTCGATGATTACTTCACTAAATTAGGTAGTCTCTTGGATAGAAAGGGTTTAAAAGACCGACCTGAAAAGCTTTACAACATGGACGAGAAGGAATGTAGACTGACCCTGCAACACAAACAACGTATGCTAGCGGACAAAGGATCGAGAAGGGTACACCTAGTCGCGCCAGAACATGGAGAGAATGTTACCATTGTGGCTTATGCGAATGCTCTTGGTCAAGTGGTGCCCCCAATGATACCTTTTAAAGGTCAGCGACAGAAACCTACATATACTGATGGATTGCCTGCTGGGTCAGGTAGGTTTGCATGACACCCAAGGGTAGCATGACGACTGGCACATTTTTAACCTGGTTAGACCACTTTATGTCTGCCCCTCCCACGATTCTAATATTCGACGGTGTATCGAGTCATTTAGATGTATCCATTGCGGACAAAGCAGAGTCCTTAGGCATAAAGCTCTTTTGTCTTCCTTCCAATACCACACACCAGCTCCAACCCATGGACGTGTCTGTTTTTCGCCCGTTTGAATCCCAGTGGGATCAAGAATTGCTTAATTACTGGGACCAACAGCCCAATAGAACACTAAATAAACAGCGATTCTCAAATGTTTTTAAGCCCGTGTGGGAAAAAAGTATGACGATGAGCAATATCTGTAGTGGCTTCAGGGCGACTGGGATATATCCCTTTAATAAACATGCCATTCCCGAACACGTGTTTGCACCAAGTCTTCCAAGCAATCGTCTGGAGGGTGGAAAAATGACCATTCGATGACTAATGAAATAGACAACTGTTCCACAGAACAAGGAAGAGAAATTAGAGTAGGATACACTGAATGGGATCCCGAAGATCTTATTCCCTTGTCTAATTTTGTGAAGAACAACAGCACAAGAGAATCCTTTTTCTGACACCAGATATGAGATCTAAAACCGTATCAACACGTAAAAAGGCGTACAACTATCACGCCTAAGAGGAAAGGAGGCAAGTGTTAGAGGAACACAATTCTCAAAAAAAGGCGAGCAAACTGCAAGAAAGTCCTTTAGTGTTTCAAGTACCAGTTGTGCTGAATCACAAGAAAGTTGGATGTGTAGAGTTTGCAACCATGGCCACTTCGGTGATATGAGAGTTTGTGCATCCTGTGAGACATGGGTGCATGAAGAAAATGGTGGGCTAACCATCGAAGTATCCGGCCTTATTACCCGCCTTTATTTTACTGTGATGGCCTTAATACCTGCCTGGTCTGGTAATAAGGCCAATATGCAGGTACTCAGTTTTTTGTTATTAAAAAAATATATTTAAGTATTTGTAAAATAAGTTTTATTTTGTGTAATAAGCAAATGTTGAGAAATGCATAAGTGTTCATTTTATGTTAAAACCGTTTTTAGTTTCATTAATAAAAAATATTTTCCACTAACACGGCCTTATTACCCGACTTTACCTTATAATTAGAAACCTCTTTTATAGTCTCTTCGTCACACATTTCATGAAAAACATTTTCCTCTTTATCCATTTCACGGCACCAGATTTCCAAATCTTCCGGACTCATCTGTGTTTCAGTAGCGACTTGTTCTATAACTTCCGAAGTAACACTGATTTGTGGAACGTTGCTAGGAGTGGTGACTATATCTGGCCATAACTTTTTCCAAGGCGATTTAATAGTTGATGACGGTAACGCATTCCACGACGGACAAAGAGCAAAAACCAAGTCTTTCATATTAAATTCTTTTAAAGTTTTTTCTGTTGGTTGGTCTTTTGATACGGCTCTCAGAAGTAGGTTTTTCTTATAGTCTTGCTTGACAAACTGAATGATATTCTGGTCCATTGGTTGAATCAGTGCAGTACAATTTGGCGGAAGAAACATCGCAGTGATGCATTTATCCTCAGTTGTTAGTTCTTCTTTAGACCGATGACCGGGAGCGTTATCAAGAAGCAACAACGCTTTTTGAGGAAAATTATGATCTTTTAACCATTTTCTAACTTCAGGTACGAAGCATTCATGAAACCACTTTTTGACAAGGTCTTTTGTCATCCATGCACTTTTTTGTCCGTAATAGTGTACAGGTAAATCAATGTTTTTAATGCCCGTGGTTTATTAGATTTCCCAATGACCATCATCTTAAGCGCGTGTGTACCCGCAGCGTTAGCACACGGTAGTATGCTTACACGCTCTTTACTTACTTTTCGTCCAGGTATGGATTTTTCGTTACAAGAAACGAAAGTTTTGTTAGGCATCACACGCCAAAAAAGCCCTGATTCGTCTGCATTGTACACCTGTGACGGGTCAAAATTTAAATCGTTCACCTTTCGCAAAAATCTTAATTTAAAGGGTTCTATGCAGGTGGCATAGTTAGAAAGTTTATCTCCTGTAATAGTCATTAAACGTATGCCATGACGATGTTTAAAACGTTCTAGCCATCCTTGCTGGCCACAAAATCACCTTTTTTTTGTTATTTCCTTATAAAAAAACTTAGCTTTCATGGCCAACATGGGTCCTGAAATTGGTGCATGCCTATTTCTTTCCTGAAGAAACCACATGTACAAAGCTTCTTCCAGTTCTGAATGTTCAGCTTTCTTGAGTGTCTGTCTCTTGCCGGGCCCGCAATCAGTAGTTGACACGAACTTCTTGATCTTCTCGTGGTTTCTTTTAATGTCATAAATTGTAGATCGGCCGACGCCGTATTCACGTGCTAAACTACTGAAAGTTTCATTGCGATTTAAGCGGTCTAAAATATCACAGTTTTCTTTAATTGTCAATGTTTTGTGCTTTCGCTTTTGAGTTTGTGATGACATTACTAGGTACTATACTTAATACACAATGAATAAATAGTAAACAATGAACGCACGCTAGGCCGTACCGCTATCACAAGTAGTCAAATTCATACTATGTAAAACAATGCTTACGCGTCGAGCACGATAGCGGTGGCATGTCGGATTACAGGGGGCGCCGGATTAGACGGGGGCCGGATTATATATATATATATATATATACAGGGTGACTTTGAAGTTGAGTCATTAATTTTCAGATAATGATTGTAGAAGGAAGATAAACCAAAATATGTGTGTAAAAATAAAAAAAAATTAAAAAAAATTTTTTACCTTGTTTTATAAAGTATCCTCCCGACAAGTATTTCAGTGCGGACCTGTATTTGATCGTGAGGTCTTGGAGCACCGGCATGCAGTCCCCTGTGAGGTCTTAAGTCACCTGATTCACGAGCCCGGTGTACTACATTAACAAAGGCACGAGGGGTTGGTTGCACTCGATTGGGAAACCGATCCGCATAAATATGTGCCATTTTTTATTTCGTTTGAGCCACGCAGCAAACACCACTATTCACTCACGCGTTACCGACTGACACAGACTGAACAAAAACATCGTGATCAGCGTTTCAAATTCTTTCGCTTTTTTGTTTCCGATGCGATGAACCGATAAGGCGGAGTATATCCGTTGTCGCCAAACACGAGCACATAATATTATGATTGAGACAGGGCGGTACTCAAACTTCTAAAGGGCTATAACTTTGTTACTTTAATTTTACCACAAAAATGTTAAAGGAAAAAAACATTTCTTTTGATCAGATCTACTCACTGTTAAAATAAATGACTCAACTTCGAAGTCACCCTGTATATATATATATATATGGCCTGTACCATATACATACAGGCTTTACTCGTGTAAAATAAATGTAAAATTTTGCAAATTCATGTTTATTCAGAAGTATAATGTTATGTTTTTGATTAACGAAATCTTGAACCCTTTGCATACAGATTTTACAATATTTTTGTTATTGAATTTTTGTTGAGTGTATGTGATCGTATATTCGAATTATTATTCAGAAACATCCTATGGGGGTTTCTGATTTTTCATTGCACTATATTGCAAATGCACCACATTACGTACCAGAATAAAGTTATTTTCCTAATTATATTGCTTTATTTATCACTCTTGAACAAACCCAATCACAAATGCACGTGAGGTGTTTGAATTTTTTTTCCTAATGCAAAATTACTTTTTGTTATTAGGAAAACCATTCAAAACTACCAAATAAAGATGATAGATGTGATGAGAAAGTAGGCAACCATGAGAGCACTGCCGTATGTCATTGTAAGAAACATGGCATATGTCATTCGTCGAATTGTTCTGAGTAGGCAGGCGTTCTTTCTGTGTCATATTTGTTCTTTCAGGACGACAATATGGCGGCATTCGTGATTCGTGTTGCTGGTTGTATTACACCACAGCCTTCTTAAACTAGTTTAAGAAGGCTGTGATTACACTGAGTTAGCATTCTTTCAGTCTAAATTTTGTGTTTTGAATTGGGTAAGCTATACTAAGGATTTTTTCGCGAGTCCACGGTGCACTACCGCGACCGGAAATACTGAAATTTTCGCGAAGAACGGGAATAGGGGAAGACGGATGTGACGTTGTCCGAATGTCAAAAAATCACGTGGTACGGGTACCCGCCTAACGTCTTTGAGGTACTATCGGGTGACAGGCCATTTAAAAAACAGACATCTCAATTGAAATTTTAATCAAATTCAAGCGGATAACCAAATGGAAATGGTATTTACCATTTTGGGTTGGTATTTACCGATCCGTTCAAGCGAGTGTAGTTATCAGTTTGGTTATAAGATCCGTGACGTCACGAATCAGCTGTTATATGTCATAGTTATCACCGCAAAATTGTGGTATTTACCCAACTCAAGAGTAGTTTTATATTTCTGGTTATTATTTGAAATGTGACAAGTTAGAATTTTGCCGGGTATTGGATATTGTTATTGTACTTCAGCTTCATTATTGAGAAAAATGATACAGGCTGACTTCAGTTTTACCATAAAGTGGAGCACCTTATTAGTTATACTCATTATGGTTGTTGGGGACACTTTAAATGTAGTTCCAATGCTTAACAAAGTATACTGTGTAGCCATATACCACAAGAATATTAAAATATGGCCATATAAACTCACTAGATGATATCCACCTGTATACGGTTTTGCTAATTTCTTTTTTCATCATTTCTGCTGAATCAATAAATGTTTTCTTTGACATGCGGAAAATTTTAGAGAATTGAAAGTTATCATAGCTACAAAGCCATGGTTCCATCATTAAAAAAAAATCTGAAAAAACATTTCTCCCATGAATATTATAGAAGGTTTCTTATTTAAACTTTCCATATACAGTTGTAGACGAAAAAGCACCGATTATTAAGTGATAATAAAAATAATCAGAGATTATATACGCGCTTTTCTAAAATAAACAACTTGCAACAAAACCGCGGTTAAAACCAACGCGTTCAAGCGATTCGTGTAACTGACGTCATCAACCCGTGTGTCATCTTGAACCATATTATAACCGCGGCACATAACACAAAAATTTTGGTTATTCGCTTGGATTTGATTAATGTCTTCGCAATGCCGAAAATTGAGTTAAATTATTAAATCATAAATGGAGGAACACGTCCACCTGATTTTAAATGACGAGGGAGAAGGTCATCAAAGATATATGAACCGCAGTTGTCATATCAAATGATTGATTTTATTGATATATATGTACATTGCAGAAAAAACGACCGGTCTTTTTATTTCAATGCAAACAAGGCGGCTAAGTTTATCAAGGAGTTTAAATCAAACATTTTGAGCAACATGCGCCATCTAACCACTCCCAGTGTAACTTGAAACTGTCAAAACTTCGAGAGGAAGGGGGAATTCCATCTGTACCCCCTCCGGCTCACTACGGGATTTCGCGAAAAAATTTCTACTGCCTGCCACACGAAAATTTGCGAGGCAAAAGAATGCGGGCAAAAAATACGGGATGTTGCGAAACGTATTTCGTTTCGCGTAAAACATGGAAATATGCGCTGATATTGTGACTGTAATTATAATGAAATATTATAGAGCAAATATTATATGAGATTTATTTAATTTCTTTGGGTAAAAGCAAAGTATTGCAAAAGTACACTCTTATAACTTAAATTCTCTAGCTTTCGAAGAATTTCATCTTCATCTCTGGAGCTGGAAACAATGATTAAAATAGCAACTAATAGCAATTGTTATTTTGGACAGTCTCAAAATTGATAGTAATTGTGAATCCTGTGCAAGGTTATTTTGTTTGGTTGTCACTGAAAAACATCTGTTTGTGAGCATGATCAGGAAAAGCGATTGAAGTATGCAAGTGAAGATTTAATTAACCTGATTGGTCTTGTGGATGAAAAGCTGTATGCATCTTTAGAGCAGCATGGTACAGAAGACCAACTGGAAGTTAAGTTTAAATGGAAGTATCCCTGCATCCTTCTAAGTCACAACTTTTGTCAGCAGCCTGATGTGGCAAAAGGTATAATTGAAAAAACTGGTCCGTTGGGAATTTACAAATATGTAAAGAGAAATTCTTTGAAAAGGAGTGGTGAGACTACCAATAGTCATATATCAACAAATAAGAAATTCAAGACTTCCAGTAACCAAATACTACTGTGATATTATACCTAAACAACATTTTTTTGTTCCATATAGTTGCAGCATCCTTGGGAAGGAGCAGTTGGACGAAGAATAATTATTTAATTTTCTTACTCCCTGTAATGTTAAAGCCGTCAGGAGATTTTGGTTTTAAGTATGAGGAATGTCTTGTTTATTTTTAACATTGATTCCTTCTTTGAAGAAAATTTTCATCATTTTTACACTATAAAAAATTATGTTTTCTCAGATTATATTTTTATTTCAGTTATTTATTTAACTACAGAGATTTATTTTTTGTTGTTTTAGTATGAATGTTTATGTTTCAGTGATAAATATACCTCATGATGGATTAACAATAGGTAGTGCTTGCTAAACACTTCCTTTGATTACTGAGGGTCCCTTTTTATCCTTTCTTATGCTACTAATGTATGATTTGTATTTTTTTTTGAAACAGCACTTATTCACTTAATAATATAGAGAAAGCTCCCAATGTCTAAAAATACCTTTATATATTGTCAATGTACTGTGATGATAAATTATTACTTATTATTATTATTCATATATTTATTTTTTATTATCCCAAAATTAGTTACCAGCAAAACTGCTGAATCAGGTATTTCCTTTATTGAGGATATTTTTTGGATCTATCCTCATAAGGTATTTCTTCAATATGGGAAATAACACTTTCAGCGGATTTTAAATTGTAAACAACCTAAATCCTCGGTACATTCCTAGCATTCCTAATCTCCCGGCGCATTCTTTGAATTCCTTCGATAGTTCCTCCAGATCTCCAGACAAGTAGGTGGCGCAACCATCTGACAAAACGTCAACGGTGTATCCATTTTTTAACGTTCAGCTTCAGCTCCCATTTCTTTAGTCTTATATGTTTTGTGCTTCCAGGCTTCCACTAGTCCAGTGGCTTTCTGTGATGTTTTGTGTTTTGGTTGATGTTGATATTCGTTTGTGAAAATTTCAATATTTAGATATTTCAAATGATCCCCCTATTTTTTTATTCGTGTTCAATTCATGCCTTCAATTGAAGTGTGTTGCGGTGTATGTTCATTTATATATAGGCGGATCGGCCGATACAGATAAAAACCATTGGAGATGAATTCAGGTAAATCCTTATTTGCTATCTTAACAATTCCTTTTCAATATTTGAGAATGTTCATTGATCAGAAAGATTGGTGATATTCTTATGTTAAAATTAGGTATTTTTTATCCGTACCCTAAAAATTGAAGACCAAACAATACGATAGTCGCAAAGTAATACATAACCTCTAAAACAAATATTGGGCAGGGTGACTGTGACTGCTTAACTACCTAAAGTAGCTTGATGAAGCATCATAATATGGAGATATGCCAAAACGATAATTTAGTACTCCAGTGTGCGAACTCTGTGGGTCTGTATTGTCTATCATATGAGATTACAAATCGTCACAGATTGCTAGCAGACGAATGAGAGCAACAAATTTAAATTAGACCAGATGTTGAAGGTACCAGGCTTAGAAGTTAGCCCCAAAAAATCGGAAGCACGAAATTCATTTATGCAATTCATTTCTTCAAAGGTCCAGATGTGTCCACTGGATTGTTTAATTTGGTTTGTCCAACCTTTGTTTTCTCTTGGAATAAAAGGGGCCAACTTCACACATTCTCAAAGTAAATCTCCAGCTTATCTACACCAGCCATTCTTGATGAAAATTCAGACCCTAGTGTGTGGGTGTAGATGAAAGAAATTTGACTGTAAATGACCGCGAATTAGGGGTGTTACAATGAAACTGACCCTAGTGCGTTGGAACATGTATCAGTTACCTATTCCATGCAGCTAATCCCAATAATCAGATATACCTATTCCACCTATTCTACATGGATAAGTGAACCAATAGGCAGATCGGCACATATCAGTTACATGCTGTCATTTTACAGCCATCTCCAAGATTTTACGTTTGCAGCTTGTCGATAACACGTTGTTTACCTTTATCATAAGATTCTTGTATCAAAAAGTTAAAAAAAAGTTCGACTACTTTGCCTTGGTTCAAATTAGGCTGGAGCAAGAGGATAAGAAATCGGTTTTTTAATCATATTCTAAAAACTATGAATACAAAAAGTGTATGAACACCATATGAGTTTTAGTTCCAAAAAACTCGAGAGGAAATTGCATTTAGGTATACAAATTTTGCATGAGAGCTGTTTTAATAAAATATACGGTGAGCACCGAATTTTGTTGATGAGTTCAATATTATGAGAGAGAAGTGGGAGAGGTGTGTAAGGCACATACACTGAAAACAAAATTTTTCTGTTGGCTTGAGTTCAGTGTGTACAAAAGAGAAGTGTGTTAGAAAGATATAGAAGCTGACTGGATAGCAAAGCTCATCGCCACATTGCTTAGGAACGCTGTCGCTGCAATCTGCTGCATTGCCAATATGTTACACCAGTTCCTTGAGTTGAGATGTATTTTTTTATATTCCAACTACCATGAATGCCTAAGGCCTAAACACTCATGGGGTACCGTGGTGCTATAGGGGAAAACAGGGAAAAGGGGGGATGCCATACGGACTCTGGTGAGGTAACAGGTGTGCATGCAACATGCACTCATTCTAGCCCCACCTACGAGATGCAATGTGACCGAAGAACCGATCGATCGAGCGCGATCGAAAACGTTATAATTTGTCATTTCAACATACAACCACGAAATTTAGCTTTAAATATGCGTAAATCGATGCGGTTTTCACGGAATAATGTTTATTTTTGTGTTTTTATGTATTGTGAGAGTATACCCCTCCTCCCCAAGAGGAACTCAAAAATTGGGGGGTAATGGGAAAAAAAACTGAAATGTTGCAAAAATAATAATATACACCTGTGGATTTTAACTTAATCGCATGAGACATCTATACTTATGTCTCTTGTAATCGATGTCGCGCTACATGGCCTACAGCCCCCCACCCCAAAATACCCCCTACTTCAATTTTAATATTAAACACATCGCAAACACGCTCATCATTTTCGAAAATCGACTTAGGTCCAGGATTTTATTGCATGTAGCTCGTAGAGTGATCCTACTCTAGCAGCCCACAAAGTGGCTTTGCCGAGTGTGCCACGGGACATTGTTTTTCAGCCCCTAGGGCACTTTATGTGGTGTATCTATGAAGAAAATCATAATTTTTCAAAATCGAGTTAGGTCCAGGATTTTTTTCGATAAATCGTGATTATTTATCATATTCTAACCACCCACCAAGCGGTTTGCCCCAATGTTGGAAGGCTCCTATCCGTACTTCGCTCAGAATTCGATCAAACACCTGTCATTTGTGAAAATCGACTTAGGTCCAGGATGCATGTATCTCGTAGAATTATGCTACTCTAGCAACCTCCAATGGATTCCGGAAGGCCCCCATCCGCACTTTTCAAAATCGCTTTATGCCCAAATTTTTTTCATGGATAACTGGTCAACTTAATGCGTTCCAATAGACCATGATCGTTCGCTCGAGCGACGTTCGGGATATACTTTTTTAGGGTTAGGGTGGGTTTATACATGGCGTTCTCACTAGAAAATTATATTTCAAAAAAATTTACCAAATTTTTTTTACAATACTCCAGTGGATGACCACCGCCCGCACCAGTCGCCATCTATATACCTTATTGAAGACGATACTCAATTCATTTTTAAAAACAAAGATATAGGGCAGACGTTTTGTTGCGATGTGATCATTTCGGCAATAGGAATTGTCGACTGATGACATCTCAGGTCGATACTGTAGTAATTTTTTTGTTTGTTTTGTAAAAACATCTTGAGGTTTGCGGCAAACAGAGCTTGTCGCATCAAAATGTACAATTGCTCCTCTAGGTGGAAGGACAATTGTCCATTTTACCTGGACATTCCTGCCCAACAGCCCAACAGCACATATTTAACTGCATCCCGTACCTTTGCTGGAGAAACACAGTGATTAGATTAGTATTAGATTTTGATGATGGATTCTGAATCAGCGACCTATTTATACTTAAAGGTTGTCGATAAAAATGAATACACGGATTTAACCAAACTGTCATATTAATGAGGGTCTTTCAACTCTAATGATAAGGCCATGTAAAGAGACTGATACTTTCATCTCACCCTAATCAATACCTGTTCAATGCCTAATGCTGTTTGACAACATCACATCGCCTTCCGATGCAAAACAGAGTATAGCCCGCGTTTATATTTACATACAGCCGTCAATATTTTACATAGGGCAATGTCACGATAAGTATTTTTACAGAACCATCAGTTTCGACTAATCTTTCCATCAATATCAGTAATCTTATACATTAATAATTACTAGCGTCTTAGCTACATAGGTAATAAGTACCACATTACATTTAATTTCACAGTACAGTGTATATTATGCGAATTACACGGATACACACACAAAAAATCGTTATTATTTTACTACATTGTTACATTCTGTATTACAAATATACAAAACCAGTATTGTATACATAAGTTTACTCAATAACATTAGCATCACCCTGAGATGATACAGCCTATTTTGCAATATGATAGGTGTCTGATCGAAATACTGATGTTATAATATGTTAAATAAACATCATTTGCACACAAAAAAAATTATCGGATTCTGATCGAAGTGCGGAAAGGGGCCTTCATTGGGGCAAACCGCTTGGTGAGTGGTTAGAATATGATAAATAAACACGATTTATCGAAAAAAATCCTGACCTAATTCGATTTTGAAAAATTATGATTTTTTTCGTATATACACCGCGTTAAGTGCCCTAGGGGCGGAAAAACAATGTTCCGGGGCACACTCGGCAATGCCGCTTTGTGGGCTGCTAGAGTAGCACAATTCTACGAGATACATGCAATAAAATCCTGGACATAAGTCGATTTTCACGAATGACAGGAGTTTGATCTAATTCTGATCGAAGTACGGATAGGGGCCTTCCGGACGACATTGGGGCAAACCGCTTGGTGGGTGCTTAGAATATGATAAATAATCACGATTTATCGAAAAAAATCCTGGACCTAACTCGATTTTGAAAAATTATGATTTTTTTCGTATATACAAGGCGTTAAGTGCCCCAGCGACTGAAAAACAATGTTCCGGGGCACACTCGGCAAAGCCGCTTTGTGAGCTGCTAGAGTAGCACAATTCTACGAGATACATGCGATAAAATCCTGGATCTAAGTCGATTTTCACAAATGACAGGAGTTTGATCGAATTCTGATCGAAGTATGGATAGGGGCCTTCCGGACGACATTGGGGCAAACCGCTTGGTGGGTGGTTAGAATATGATAAATAATCACGATTTATCGGAAAAAATCCTGGACCTAACTCGATTTTGAAAAATTATGATTTTTTTCGTATATACACCGCGTTAAGTGCCCTAGGGGCTGAAAAACAATGTTCCGGGGCACACTCGGCAAAGCCGCTTTGTGGGCTGCTAGAGTAGCATAATTTTACGAGATACATGCAATAAAATCCTGGACCTACGTCGATTTTCACAAATGACAGGAGTTTGATCGAATTCTGATCGAAGTACGGATAGGGGACTTCCGGGCGACATTGGGGCAAACCGCTTGGTGGGTGGTTAGAATATGATAAATAATCACGATTTAACGAAAAAAATCCTGGACGTAACTCGATTTTGAAAAATTATAATTTTTTTCGTATATACACCACGTCAAGTGCCCTAGGGGCTGAAAAACAATGTTCCGGGGCACTCTCGGCAAAGCCGCTTTGTGGGCTGCTAGAGTAGGATCACTCTACGAGATACATGCAATAAAATCCTGGACCTAAGTCGTTTTTCGAAAATGATGAGCGTGTTTGCGATGTGTTTATTATTAAAATTGGGGTAGGGGGTATTTGGGGGGGGGGTCTGTAGGCCATTAAGTTCAAATCCGCAGGTGTATATTATTATTTTTGCAACATTTCAGTTTTTTCCGTTACCCCCCAATTTTGCAGTTCCTCTTGGGGAGGAGGGGTATACTCACACAATACATAAAAACAAAGAAAATAAACATTATTCCGTGAAAACCGCATCGATTTACGCATATTTAAAGCCAAATTACGTGGTTGTATGTTGAAATGACAAATTTTGTGCACTGCTGCCTTTATAATGTTTTCGATCGCGCTCGATCGATCGGTTCTTCAGCCACATCGGATCTCGTAGGTGGGGCCAGAATGGGTGCATGTTGCATGCACACCTGTTCCCTCGCCAGAGTCCGTGTGGCGTCCCCCCTTTTCAATGTTTTCCCCTATAGCACCACGGTACCCCATGAGTGTTTAGGCCTTAGGCGTTCATGGTAGTCTAATTTAAATTTGTTGCTCTCATTCGCCTGCTAGTAATCTGTGACGATTTGTAATCTCATATGATAGACAATACAGACCCACAGAGTTGGCACATGGGAGTACTCAATGCCTTTATAACTATTTCGATCGCGCTCGATCGATCGGTTCTTCAGCCACATCTGATGGACACGTTGTGAACTCGTTTTGTAATTCTACGTGTTAACTAAACCTCATGAGGCTTCTGTTATCAATGTTTGGTTCTGATGTGTTGTAAAATCTGCTTTAGAGATGGTATTACTGGAGATATTGGCAATGCATTGATGCATAGTAAGGATTTGTGTGCTAATAATATATGTTGATAACTCCATTGGATTCTTGACTCAAATACACTTACTTGAGATTCAAAGCTAGAAATAAGTTCCGCATCCACTTTTCTTATCTATTCTGGAAATTACGTATGCAAATCTGCTGTATTTCAAAAATGAGAGAGATAAGAAATAATTATATTCACTGTACACTGTCGAATTACAAGTCACACACATGCTAACAGTAATTACACACAGTGCGGGCGCGGTAGTGATTTCCCGCAATTCTCAGTTTTTGAAAACACAAAAAACGTAAAAAACATTAATTTTATAACTTTGAACATAACCTGTCTTCAGAAAGGACAACATATAAATAACCGTTCGGGCACAGCTAATAGATATACTTCATTGGCAGCATATTCAGTAATGATTTTCTCACACAGCAAATATCACTGATTTTCTACACATGTAGACCAATACAAACAATCATCCAGATGCGATCTTGCTATTCAACCAACTTCATTCTCAGAGATGAAAATTATAGACTATTGGGCTTCACAAACCATATACAACCAACAGTGCGTATAGTTGAGCTATTCCTCCATAGATGGTCGCTCACAACAACCCTAGTGAGTAAACATGGAATGACTGTGTGCACCCTAAAAACTACCTAGTCTGAAAGATGGCATTTTATAGTTTTTTTTTTGACGTTTTATAGGTTTTTTACATAATACCCGTGCCGATCTAGCATTAATTTACTTAACAAATTAATCAGTTTTTTTAACAGTGTACTATGTTGATCACTGAACAAATGCCTATGACAAAGTCAATATAAACTAAATGCACATTTTCACTATTCTCCATTACTTCGTTTATTGTATCTGAAAGGTATACCTCAACTAAACTAAAATTTGTATAAACAGTGAAGAGGGAGCCAGGCAAAAGACGAATAAAGCCAGTGGAGCATGCCTGTTTGCTCGACTTTGATGAGGAAAGCTCCGATGACAGTGATTTTCGTATTGAAGATCACCCAGAGGCGAGCGATGACGACGATGACGACTCAGGATCTGGCCAAGGGGACACCAGTGGTAAGTATGACATTTAGGATTATTCAAAAGTCAAGAAAGGCTTAACATCTTGAGAAGCAGTCAACCACACATACATACATGATAGAGGAGTTCAAAATCTTGAACTACCATTATGAATTTTATAGAAAAAAAAAACAAAAGCCACAGACTGAGAGATCATGAGAAACTCACTTCCTTTGATGTATCCTCACTGTTCCCTAGTGTACTGATACCAGAAACTTAACAGTGCTTAAGGACATTGCTCACATAATTACGACCAGGTCATTATCAACGGATTGATAACCCTAGCATAGATATATTCGGGTTGAAAAACAGCATAAGCCCCTTTTCGTCACTATTCCTCTTCAGCCAATTATTTTGTAATCATGTGACGAATAAAGGCCATTTACTATTACAAATAATAAGAAAAAAATTAATAATGTGTTGGGCGACCCCGCAGCTGAATACACTCCTGTATACGTCTAGGCATCGACAAAATGAGATGACCAATGTCTGGGTGTAGCACCTCATTCCAAGCAACAATAACTTCGTGGATTAGCTGTGGCACAGTCTGTGGCGGATGGTGTAAAGTGGACAGTCTCCTTCCCATCATATCCCACACATGTTCGATAGGATTTAAATCCGATGAACGAGGTTTCCACGTCAAAACAATAACGCCTTCTTCTTGAAGAAAGTCCATAGTACGACGAGCAATTTGAGGACGTGCGTTGTCTTGATGAGAAAGGACATGTGGATTGAAGATGACATTATGGCATTCTGCTCCAGTGCAAACTGGCTCCAATGCGGCGATAGAGTGTACGCATAGTAACGTAACAGGTCACCTTATTCTCCAAACCATTGGTCAGCGATCTGACGCGTAGTAGCAAAACGCTCTCCTGTTCCTCTACCTTCTTCTATCCATACACGACACACACGCATTACCGTCATTCCAGTACACCAGTCGCTAAAATGGTGATAATTTGGATGTCTTCAAACTCGAGGCATTTTGTTATGCTTAACACTAGTAAATGAAAGGGCAATAACTGAAAATATCTGTACTACTCAGCTCTCAGAAACTGATTTCTTCACAAAAACTAAGAGATAACATTTTAACAAAGGTAAACAAAAACAAAGATAAAACGTTGCCATTGTTGAAACAGCATGCTTTAAATATAGTCATTATGTTGCAAAACAATAAGTTGAAGAAATGTTTTTTTTTCTGGGTGTAACACTTCTGTTAATTTTCCAGTATTTTGAACAAAAAGGAGGAACAGCCATAGGAAACTGACTGTCCCCATACTTAGCCGACTTATTCATTAATAGTTTTGGAGATAGAGTTAAAAGATCACTCCAGGACTTCCCAAGACTAAGATATATAAATTCGGACACTAAATTAAAAATAACGGCTAGTAACCGTTCTTAGATCTTATGGTCAAAAGGAACAACCGGAACAGCTTGGATTTTAAGGTTTATAGGTGCGCTATATAACCAACGATTCAAACCACTGTAACCAAAACAAAATGCCTAGTACCTGGCATTTGTTTGTTGAACAACCGACCTTTTGTTATAGTTTAGTTTTGTATTTTCAAGTCGTTGAATCAATACCGTTGGAAATGTATATACAGGGTCCGGCAGTGAATTCTGACTGTTTTTGAAAGGAGGTAGTGGACGGGTGGTTCGCGTGATGTGGAACGTAAGTAACAATGGAAGGTTGGACCGCCCAACACCGCGCGTTCGCCGTATATGCCTTTTTCGTGTGCATTTTAATGTTCCTCCTCTTGGGCGTATTGCATCAAGGAATACGATTCTTTTATGGGCTCGAAATTTTCGAAACACTGCTTTCGGAACAACCAGAAGAAGGGGAGGCCCCTCAAACTTCGAGGCAGTATGAGTAGCGTCTGAACGGAGTCCAAGGCGTTCCGCGATTCGTCACGCTCAGGTTCTGAGAATGGTTCGGAGTGTTCACCGAATTCTTCATGAAGACTTGCGTTTCCCTCCTTATAAAATTGTTATCGTTGAAGAGTTATTGGAACCATATTTCGCAAGGAGAGTGACTTTCTCAGAGACCATGTTGCAGAGGATGAATGAAGATCCCGGAATTATTATTTTCACCTCCGACGAAGCACATTTCCACCTCAATGGTTGTGTAAATAAACATAATTTTCGTTACTGGGCAGCAGAAAACCCACGAGAGCTCCATCAAGGGCCACTCCACCCCCAAGTGGTAACTATATGGGCAGCAGTTAATAAGTAAATTATGATCGGGCCTTTCTTTTTTGAGGAAAACGGCCTCTCTGTGGCGGTGACTTCGGAGCGATATGTATCCATCATCCAGCATTTTTTTCACCCTAATTACGAAGACGCCTCATTCTTCTTAGGAGGGTTTTACTGCCAGTACGTCATATTTGTCAATGGAGTTGCTGAGAAGGTCTTTAATATCTCCGTGGTGACATTCCATGGCCTGCACGCTCTCCCGATTTGCCCCATGCGATTTTCATCTGTGAGGCTACCTCAAGGAAAACGTTTATCTGAACAAGCCTCGAAGTTTGGAACAACTGCGAGAGAACATCGGTAGAGAAATTCTTGCGATCCCTCAACACACTTTAAAGAGAGTGATGGCGAGCTTCGCCAACCAACTTGAGCAGTGCGTGGAAAATGGGGTCGTTATCTGAGTGACGTTATTTTTTCAACATAATGGTTTTCCCTACTTTTTGGTGTGCATTTGTATTTTCCACTCTTGCTCTATTAAATAAAAATATATATCTAAAAATATGTTGAAAATTCATTGATTATCCCATTTCAAAAACCGTCAGGTTTCACTGCCTGACCCTGTACGAATATAGAACAACGATATAAGTAGTATCATAGTACGTTAGGAAATGTTTATATGACTAGCATGGATGTGATACGCTGTATTCCAGTAGATCAGTTTTTTATTAGGTTCTTATGCTGGCACCACATCTTTTTCATACCGAAACATTGCGTTAATAAAATTTCAGGAATCAAATTCAAGTTGATCGCTTCTATGAGATTTTTGTATTTAAATATTTTAGAACATGTATTTTAAACTTTCATCAACATCTTTCTTTTTTGTATAAGATCCCAAGGATACCAGACATTACTCATTTTCTCAAAGACAAAGCTGCAGCTATTCGGTAGGGTTCATATACATATGTACCTACAACGCCTGCGTATCTGCTAATTCGGATAGTGGGCCGATTTACAGATACCAGGTGAGAAAGGTAAGTAACAACAAGACCAACTTTACTTAAAGATCATCCAGAGTCCGGGCCGTGGCAAATGCTTGTTCCGGAAGTTGTTATATTCAGTATACAACTTCTCCCCGTTCAACTAATTGTACACGCGTTAAGGAATACCTCAGTACCGATTGCCGGTACGAAAACGGGCTACTCGGTCTATTTAACATCATTAACACGTAAAAAGAAGGTGGTAGACAACAACCAGTCGACCGAGGCGGTACCACCTGCTAATTTTTCCCAGGGTGTCTTATAAATGTCCGCATGTTTCCACACCTAAGCTCCTCAGTCGATTATCTTCCCCAACAAAGAAATTAATTATGATGAACCCGCGGGTACTAAGAATTCCGGACGTGAACTCACTCCACTCTCGGAATGTCCGGGTGTAGGGTGGATTTCAGTAACAACATCGAAGGTAAAATTTGGAGGACATACCTTCTCCGAGGGGCTCATGCTTCGGCTGTCTGTTCAACGATAACCGAAATTATCCACGCCGGGATTGAGGAATACATCCCTCACACAGTGAAAGTATCTAAACCAGGGTCCAACGGCTGGTTTAACAAATCGTGCTACACTGCTTCCCAGCAGAAGATCAAGGCACACAGAACCTTCTTGCAAAACTCCACTGTAGAGAACAAACAAGCCGACGTTGAGTCCAGAAACAAATATAACGAAGCGGTTCGCAATGCCAAAGACCAGTATGATATAAAAGTTAGGCACAGGGTAATGTCGCAGCACAATGACAGTCGGTCTTTCTGGACGCTGGCCAATCAGATTGAAAGGAACTTCTCACAGAGTAGCCTTCCATCACTTATGTGTCAGGATGGAACGATTGTAACCGACTTAAAGGCTAAGGCCGAAGTGCTTGCCAAGATCTTTGCTGCCAACTCCACAATGGACGTACCCCCCCCCCCCCCCAACGTCCAAGTGCCGTCGATTCAAATGCACCAGGGAGTAATACGGGTGCTCTTATCGCTCGACATCAACAAAGCTTCTAGTCCGGACTTCATTCCTGCCATTGTATTAAAGAGCTTGCTCCAGTACAAAAAGCGTCCTAGCGCGCATCCGGTTTCGATGGATGGACGAGTTCTGCCAAAGAGCTGTTCATTTCGGCTAGCCGGAGCCCAAATCACCGAGGACTTGATCTGGCACGTACACATCCCGTCAATAGCGCCAGCTGCTGCGAAAAAGCTAGGCTATTTGTTTAGGGCTAAGAAGTACTTTTCTCCGCATTACCAGTGGAGGACTGTTCGACTGATCGATGACTCTTCTCTAACAGACAGTCTCGGGGCCCTTTCGCATAGGCGGACCGTCGGCGACCTAGCTCTCTTCTACCGCTACACCTACGGGCTTTGCTCCTCATAGCTCTCTTCCATTATGCGGTCACGCGATGTGCCTGCCAGACAGACCCGCCCATCCTAACCGTGTCGTACTTCGTACATCCAGAACAGGTCGATTCGACCGCTCCTTTATCCCGGGGGTGTGGAACAATCTACAAGAGAAAGCTCTAGTACTCTTAGGCAGTTCAACAATTGGATTAACAAAGTTTCTTTGGGATTCTCATGGGCGGCTGCTTCGGTATAAAAAATTCTCATAGCTGGTTTTTATATATGTAACACTGCTGGACACCTCCCGTAGTCCATTACTTCGGTCAGACACTTTGAAGCATCCAAAACATTTATTTTAAAAACTACAAACATGAAACACATTCAGCCTTGAGTATAAGTGCGAGGGACTATGATTGTGTTTTGAATACGTATATAG